TGTGTTCTGTTGTGCATAGGGTTTTCAGAGGCCTGCTGTTTCAGAAGTGGGTGGCCAATCCTTCTTCCTAGTCTGTCTTAATCTGCTAGAGACAGGAAAATGGGGTGATTTAACCTACAGAAGTTTATTCTCTGATAGTAGGCTAGAAGTTCTAATTCAAGGCAGTGGCTCTACAGGAAGGTGCTCTATCTTTGAACTCTTAGGATAGAACTCTCAGCTTTAGCTCTTTGGCGTCTCCATTTGGCATCTGTCTTCTCTGTTTATAGTTACTTTACTCCGCCTAGTCTAGACGTGGCCTAGCAGTAAGGAGTTGTGCTACCAGCCCTTAGACACCTAGTTCAATCAAATCTACCAGCTGCTCTCCTCTCTTGCAATTAACAACCTCTGAAAACCCTTGGAGGGTAAGCTGTGAGTAGGTTCTAGCAGCACATGACAACACCACTAAAGATCCATTGAAGAATAGAGAAAACTTTGACTCCTAATGTTTTTGCATCCACAGGTGGTGGTTATCATGTGCCACAGAGTCGCTTACGACTCATAGTGAACCTGTGTACTCAGCCCTAAACCCTGCTCCATCCTGTGCCCAATCTCATTGCCTCCAACACACCTACTGCCATTACCCCAGTCACTTAATCAATACATCTCATTGAGGGTCTTCCTCTCTTGTGCTGTCCCTCTACTCTCCCAAGCATGACATCCCTCTCCAAGGGCTGACTGGTCCCTCCTTGTAACATGTCCAAAGTATGTCAGACGAAGCTTCAGAATCCTTACCTCCAAGGAGCAGCCTGGCTTCGCCCTCTACAGGACGAACTTGTTTGTTCTCCTAGCAGTCCATGGTATATTCAATACTCTTCTCCAACACCAAGCTCAAAGGCATCAATTCTCCTTCTATTCTCCCTAGTCATTGTCCAGCTCTCTGATGCATAACAAGTGATTGCAAAGACCATGGCATGTATCAGGCGCACCTTAGTCTCCAGACTGACATCCCTGCACTTCAGCACTTTAGGGAGGTCTCCAGCTGCAGACTTCTCCATCGCAATATGTCCATGTAGCTAATTTTAATTGAATAGCTACATGCACTGCCATTGAATCAAATGAATAACAACAGGTTGACTTATAACAACAGGTAGAACTGCCTTATAAGGTTTCTGAAACTGAATCTTAACTTTGAAACAGCCTGATCATTCTCCAGAGAAGCCACTGGTGGATGTGTTTTAACCACTGATCCTTCAGTTAACAGCTGACTATACCACCAGGGCTCCCTTAGAGCTTACCTTGTGCTTTGTATGGTGTACTAGGGGGAAAAAGTAACATTGTGAAATATTTTTAACTCAGAAAAGTTCAGAATTATTTTTAGCATTTAGGTGAAATAGCTTTGAAGTTAGTCATGGCACCTCTATTATATGATTAAACACAGCATAGCATTTTTATCGTATTTTGGAAACCCATCGTGAACATGCAAAATCTATAGTCTTTTAAAAATAAAATCCCTGTGTGCAACAGAAACTTACTCTAATAGGGTGGAAAGAAAGCTTACAAACTGGGGAAAAACATTTGACAATGACATTTCAGGCAAGTGTCTCCTAATTAAAGTCTTTAGAACAACAGGCCCTCCACAAGGAAAAGACTGATCACCCAATTTTTTAAAAAGAAATGGACAAAAGAAAAGACTCTTCACAGAGGAAGGCATTTAGATTGCCAACAAACACATGAAAAATGCAGGTCAAAACAGCAGTCAGGTACCATCTCACCCCAGCAGCAGTAACAGTTCAACAGGACAGCAAGTAATAGGTGTTGAAGAGTATCTGAGGCACTGCTAATGGGATTGTGAAATAATACAACTATGGAACGCAAATACTCAAAAAGAGGAGCATAGGAATATGCCTTATGACCCAGCCCTTCCACTGCTAGGAAATCAAAACTAACACACAAATGGAGATATATATGCCTATGTTCATAGCAGCATTATTCATAATAACAATTAGCAGTACCAAAGGGAAAAAAAAATTTTACATCTGTATGTTTTCACAAACAGTATTATCATCCACAATCTGGTTGATGACACCACTAAGAAATGTATTGATAATATGAAACTTAAAACTTCTCAAGTTAACTTTTAGCAACAGACTATAATTGCTGTTCTTATGTTTATATTTTCTTGAATCCTAGAGATGTGTGTGTGTGTGTGTGTGTGTGTGTGTGTGATTTTTTTTTTATTTCCTCTCAGCTTTAACTAAAAGTCCTTAGCATTTGACTAAAATGCTTCCTCGGTTTATCATCATCATCATCATCATCAGAGCTTCTCCACTGAAGGGGGCATGTCATTGCCCAGTACCCTACTGAATCATTTTTAACCAGTTAACCCATTGCTATCAGAGTTTTGAATTGATTCGATCCCTTTCTTAGAAATTTGCCTTTCCAGCCCAGACACACTGACTCAGAATCAGCATTTTAACAAGATCCTAGGCACTTATAAGCATTACCTGGGGACCTTGTTTAATGTAGATTCAGATTTAGTGTATCTGAGATGAAAGGTAAATTCACAGCAAGGATTCAAACTGGAATAAACTAGTTCTAAGCCTGGTTGCCATCAAGTAAATTCCAAATCACAGTGACCCCATGTGTATTGCGTTATAAGATTTTCAGTGGATAGTTTTTCTGAAGCAGATTTTTCAAAGGTACCTCTGGGTGAATATGACAGAGGAACTTTATAGAACCTTAGGCATAAGATGAAAAAAACAAAATATACTGCTTTTTCATTTTTTCACTTTTCATTAATTGTTGGGCAGTCAAAAATAACCACAAATTATAAGGCATGTTGTGGGGCATGTGCAACCAGGATGCTCCTCAGAGGCAAGGATAGTAAAGTTGGTCTTTAGGTGAGTAGTCAATACGGGCCAGTCCTTGGAAAGAGACATCATTCTGGGAAAGTGGAGGGTCAGACAGAAAAGAAGAGGGAGATCTTCCACAAGATAGATAGACACAGTGAACTCAGGCCTATCAGAGGTGGTGAGGGTGGTGCAGGACAGGGCCAGCTTTCGATCTGTGCTTCATAAGGTTGTGATGAGCAGTAGTCGATTCAGTGGCCCCTAACAACAACATGGAGCACAGAGGAAGCTTGTTGTGTTCACTCTTGAGCTGCCAAGCGAAAGGTCAGCAATTGTATTTCACTATCCACTCCAAGGGGGAAATACCAGTCTTCTCCCATAAAGATTTATAGCCTCCACAACCCAATGGATTGTTGCAAGAGTCTGAATCAACAGCAGTGGGCTAGATTTTGAGTTTCAGGGACATGCTCAGCTGCTGTTTGTAGAATGTTTGCCTATTACTCAAAAAATATTCACCAAAAACTTCCGCTGACAAGTATTAGGGTTAAATCAATGAATAAGCCACATTCTTTCTCCTCAGGAGTTCATGGTCCAAGCAGTTAACAGTGTGACAATACCTTTGAGCAACATGGATTTGAACTTCACAGTCCCACTTATATGGTTTTTTGGTTTTTTGTTTGTTTGTTTGTTTGTTTTTTACCATGTGGCTAATTATCTCCAAGTGAGCAGTTTTCAGGGAACTGTTTTCACAGAGGTGGTTAGTGTTACATGACATTATAAGCAGATGCTTGCCAGTATTTGAGCCCTTGAAGTTCAAACCCATGTTGTTCAAGGGTCTACTTTAAATTATACATGGACCAACAAATGCAAGGGAAATCAGAACCCCTGGCCCCTTCACTATTCAAGAGGCAACTATGTAAGAATTAAAAGAAATAATTACAACTAGATGAGATCATATTTTGTGACTAGAAAAATTATAAGTTCTGCTATGTTTTCAGTGTAACTCATTTAATTAAGAAAAACACCCTCAAAAAAAGAAAAAGAAAAACACCCTCATATTGGGGATTTTTTCCTCTACTGAAACATTTATCTAAACAAAGAGAAAAATATGTCATTTTACTGATACCCACCTGTCAGCTATAAATAATGTAAGCTATAAGAATTCTTTGGAATTCTGATTACTTGCTTTAATTTTGGCAATATTTAGTGAAATAATTTGTGAAATTTTTATTTTTTCTGGTGTTTGCCATTGTTAATAGGGATTTTTAACAGAAAAAGAGACTTACGAAGAATATAAGTATTTTGATTGTTTTTTACTGTTTGCTGTATAATTTTCAACAGATATTTCAGTGTTAACCAGATGCAAAGATTTAAGTCCCTAGATTTTCTTTTCATGATATAAAAGGTCTGTGATCCAAATGACAGGGGAGCAGTGTGGTAAAGCGGTTCTTTGTTTGTTCTCAATAGGAATATGATGAAGAATGGGCTAAGAAAATTCAGAGTGAGAAGTTTCGCTGGCATAACTCTCAGTGGCTGGAGATGGTAGAGAGTCGTCAGATGGATGAGAGTGAACAGTACCTATATGGTGATGATCGGATTGAGCCATATATACATGAAGGAGATATCCTCGAAAGGCCTGACCTTTTCTACAACTCAGGTAAAATGACAACCAGAGCAAGAATAAACAGTCTATGTGCTATAAATGAGAATTTTCATCGACCAACCTTACTCAACCCTAAGCATTAAGAATTTCTTTTAGGAGAGAGGAGGCGGCCATGTTCTTCCTGGTTGGCTTCTCCCAGGGTTTCAGGAAGTTCTCCTTGCCAGAAGGAGCATTGTGGTGTGGGCGCAGCAATCTTGGCAAGCTTTTGGAGGCGAGTGCTTTTCCGGGTGCAGTATGTGGCTTACGTGACCGTGGGAGGCATCACCTCTGTCATTAAGCTCATGTTCACAGGACTCTATTTTTTGTGAGGTTTGGCATTGGAAGGCAGCTTCTCGTAAAATTTCCATGGTTCTTCACCTTTGGTTATTTTTCAAAACAAGGTCCAACACAAAAACGGATAGATGCCTCATCATTCACGATGACATTTTTTGGT